GTGGGAAGGAAGGACGTTTGCCTTGCATGCGGCCAACCCGGGTTCGATTCCCAGCATCCCATATGGTCCCCTGAGCACCGCCAGGAGCAATTCCCAAGTGCAGAGCCAGGAGCAACCCCTGATCATCGCTGGGTATGACCCCAAAACAAAAAACAAACAAAAAAAGATGAGCCCTTGATGTACTAGTCACCTTCGCAGATGGATTTGTGAACTGTCTGTATCTATCTCCACCATGAGAGCACACTCATCTTCCAGTTTAACTCTCCTCTTTCTCTCTCTCTCCCTAGTGTCCATCTAAGTCATCTGTGTCACACACTTCCTCTGGACTGTCCTTCTGATGCAGTTCATTATTTACCTCTCAGAAATGTCCTATCCTTTTCTCTACAGACTTTGTCACAAATCATGAGAAGATTGTAATCATCCAGCTCCTCATAAGGCAAGAAGGAGGAAAGAGTGTCACAGTACAAGATGTGACAATGGCAGCAGATCAGAATGGAGTGGGGCACTTAGCCAAGGAAGAGCGGCATGTTTTGCAAGCTGGGAAACTAAGGGGCAGATTCTCCCCCTCGAACTTCCAGAAGGAATTCAGTCAGCAGACACTTGGATTTTAGACCCATTTTGAGCTTCAGGCATCCAGGACCCAAAGAAAATGAACTTGTGCTATTTTGGGAAGCTAAGTTTGTGGTAAACTGTAGTGCTAGTACACTGGTACACCAAATGCACAGATAATACTGGCTTCAAAGCACTGAGATCAGGGGCTATTGAGGCAGTACAGTGGGTAGGGCACTTGCCTTGCACACGGCTGACCTAGGTTTGATTCCCAGCACCGCATATGGTTCCCAAAGCCTGCCAGGAGGGATGCCCAAGTGATGCACGGTGTGACCCCCCCTCCTCCCATTGCAAAAGGTAAGCAAAGAAAACAAGCAAGCAAGCTACAGGGAAGTGCTCTCAGCAGAATCCTGCTCTGTGGAGCAGGGCTCGGGCTCGCCATAGCACTAGCCATGTGCTATCATTTCATTCTTAACTTCTCTGGGTCTCTGGATGACAAAAGTCAGATTATCAAGCAGTGGGCGAAAGCAGGGCTGGAGTGATAGCACAGCGGTAGGGCGTTTTGCCTTGCGTGCAGACAGCCCTGCCGAGCCGGGTTCGATTCTTCCGCCCCTCTCGGAGAGCCCGGCAAGCTACCGAGAGTATCTCGCCCGCACGGCAGAGCCTGGCAAGCTACCCGTGATGTATTCGATATGCCAAACACAGTAACAACAAGTCTCAAAACGGAGACATTACTGGGCCCGCTCGAGCAAATGGGAGGACTGTGACTGTGACAGGGCGAAAGCAGTGGCAGGATCAAGTTGGAACTAGAGGTGACATAGGGACAGTGGTGGAGGGGCTCAGGCACTTGGCATGGAGGGTGTGCAGCAACTTTGCAAATCGATATTTTTGTCATAAATGTTATAGCAAAAATATTTAAAAGAAAACTTTTTTTTTCTGCTTTTTGGGTCACACCCAGTGATGCTCAGGGGTTACTCCTGGCTCATGCACTCAGGAATTACTCCTGGTGGTGCTCGGGGGACCATATGGGATGCTGGGAATCGAACCTGGGTTAGTCATGTTGGCTGCGTGCAAGGCAAACACCCTACCCGCTGTGCTATCACTCCAGCCCCTAAAAAGAAACATTTTTATCTGGGATGCTATACAGTGGGGAAGGTGCATGCCTTGCATGCAGCTGACGCAGGTTCAATCCCCAACAACCCAGGTGGTCCCCTGAGCAGAAAGCCAAGAATAAGCCCTGCGCACCACCCAGTGTGGCCCCCAAACCCAACATCTCCCTCTGGGTTTCCATATGCCATCTTTTTGCCTTTTGGGACTTTGGGGGGAGTGCCGTGTTGGTAGACCAGTAGGCTACAGTCCCAGCTCAGCATCCACCTCTGTCAAGGGGACGGCATATCTTTATTCCACATCAGTGTTGAGCAGAGGAAGTGATAAAATGTTTGCTGTGTGGCCAGGACATTCTGCCACGTGGCAGACTCATTTCTCCCTATGCTCTCCCTTTCCGACTGACACTATTCTAAATGAAGCATATTATGTGATATCATTTCACAGAACAAAAACATTTAACCATAACCATCAAACTAGGGAAAAATGAATCCATTAAGGCAAAAAAAAGAGAAGGAACAGTAATTTATAAAGTAAGATTAAGCTTACTGAGACATTTTGATCCATATTTTCCCAACTTGTGCAATGGCCAGATTAATTCACAAGAAATATTAGCTTTGAATTATTTAAATGCCTAGCGAGGAGAATAATGCATAGCAGGTCTTGTGCACTGTGAGCGGATTATTGATTAACGTGGCTCCCAAGTTCTAAGTAGCCAGTGGTATATTTTAATGTATGAATAATTTAACGGAATGAACAATTTCTGTAGTTGCCGGAACCACAGTCACAGCTGAACCATGTGAACATGCAAACTATTGTTTTGCCCAAACAGAGATGAGTCCTCTCCCTCCTCGCCCTGGCCAATTTGGCGGGGAATCCCACCAAAATATAGTTTTCATCTCTAACAGCAAATGTAGGTCATAGAAGTGACACTCAGCACTCAATAAATATATGACAGACGAATGAAAATTTCATAAGGTGGTATTGAAAAATAACCAGCAGAAATATTTTAAAAGATCAACCTGGAAAGAAAATCAATTCCAATAAACTCAAATGCTCTCAGGCTCAACTATTATGAAGGCAAATAGTCTTTGAAACTGGACTGAGCAAGGCTCAGAGAATAGCAAATAACACTGATCAAAACTTGAACACCTCCGAGGTATTCTCAGAGTTCACAGATAAATTGATTCATTGTTATCTCACACACAAGACCCCAAATGCACTGCCTGCATTTCATAAGCAGTTCCTAAAGGCAAAGAGAAAACGGGCTCTTTGGTTGAATTAGCATTTGCAGTTGAGAAAAGAAGGGAAACTGAAATTGAAGGGAATTAGCTTTCTTTTTTTTTTCTTTCTTTATTTTTGCAAAGGGTACCTCAGGCAAATAATTAGCTCATTTCAAACAGAGACCATGTATGGATTTTTCAGGCTTTCAGGGTGATATGCATGCAAAAAAACTTTGGTAAATTAGCCATTTCCTTAAGCAAATCTGATTGTAATTTATAAAATGCCATACAGTTTTTAAGTTTGAACTAGTCTAATCATCAGATCATCTTCAGACAGCAAAATTTAAAACTCTGGCTCCAATTTCATTTGCAGTAAAGGTTGCAAATCTTGGTAATGAGTTGGTGTTCACACATTTCACGTGATCATTGTTTTCATGATGGACAGTTTCAGCTGGAACAGTAATCCGTACGTGTTAAGTTTAGAAACCAACATCTACCAGCAGAACTTTGCACAGAGCAGAGCTCTTTATTGTAGTTTTGGAAAGAGAAAAAAAAAACACACACACAAAACCAGCTGCTTTAAGCAGTGGCATCTAGACTTTCTTAGGGAAAACTGAGCACAACAAAGACCACTACCCAGGTGGTGGGGGGGGGAGGGGCGGGCAGGGTTTGCCAACTTGACACTCGGCTCTCCCCCCCTATAATTTAGGGGGGGAAATGTTGGAGTGCTTCTGAATTGTTAGACCTGCAAGGAAGATAAAAGAGACAGACAGCTGTTGTTTCTGTGATGGACAAGTGCAAAAGGGGGTCGTCAGTGCTGATTCCAGCTTAGAAACACTTTGGGGGTTGGCTTGAGGGCCAATCTGCTCGGTATCCGGCCACGCTTCGCTAGATAAAATAAAGTCTAGCTCTAAAACCCAAGTCCATCCTAAAAATCACAGAATGAAAGAGGCAGTAGTAGAGGTACCAGAAGCCCATTCCAAAGACAGGGGGTGGATTTTTTTCCCTTTGCAGGTTCCTCTGCCTTCTCTCCAGAAAGAATACTTGCTGAGGATCTCAAATTCTTCTGGAACTTACTCTGGGGACTGACTACCTCTTCACCAGCAGGCCAAGTCACAAAACAGGTGAAACATGCAGCAGGAGACAGGCAGTTGGGATTTCCCAGAAAAGCCCAGAGACTCCCCCCTACCACCACCCCCACCCTCGCTGCCGGCACCCCCCACCCACCAGCAAACTACTCAGATTGAAATCGAAATGCCAAGTGCTGCGAATGCAATTATCCTCTATATTAAGCGCATTCCTCAGTCGAGGATGGCTTCCGTGGATGCTTAGGTTTCAAGTTAGCTGCTCAAAAGTGATGCTAATCCAGTTTAGGACACATGCGATGATGTGTCTGCCTCAGCCCTTTGTGCTGAGCCGCAGCAGAGACAATGCGTGATGTCCTGAGCCCGGCTAAGCAAGCCTCCTTCCAGCCCGGAGCGCGAGAAAGGAATTTAGCCTTACCAGTTTGTCCCACAGCAGACGAGAGAGGAAACCACCCCCAGCTGCTCTAGGCCAAGCAACTGGGTTTCTTATCCTGCACCAACGGGGGCTAAGCAAGCCGGACTGCCTTCCCTCTGTTTGCTTTTTCCTCAGCAACGCCTCTCAGGATTTTCTCACAATGCACGCTCCTATTCTCTAATCCCCTCAGAAGGAAAACCGGCACACACACCAAATGACTTCTGCAGAAGCGCCCCTGCAGGGGAGCGGGGAGCGGGGAGGGGTGTGTGCTCACTCTCAGTCCTGCCAGTCCCTCCTCCATCCAAGAGGCAGGGAACCAGCTGCCCCCACGCTCCAGCAACAGCACTGCAGGGACCCAGGGACCCAGGGACCCAGGCCGGGAAGAGAACTCTCAGGGGACGCCGGGAGCCTGCCTGCAAACCTTTCCAGCCTCAAACTTCCTCTGAGTTCCACACACCCCATCCCTCCCTCGCTGGGCACAAACAGTTCAACAAGTAGAAATCAGGTAGCAGCTACCCCTATGGACCAAATCATGCCTGAAAAGTCCCAGACAATTGAGAGCAGCAGTTTCTCAACGGCTTACCCGGCTGAAAAGAATCCCAAGACGTCAAGAGGAAGCAAAAGATGAAATCACGAAAACGTGTTACCGGCAAACACCCGAACTTTGGCGCGGGCATGCTTTTCCAAACCTGCACCAAACGGAAGGTGAGTGGCTGGGTCCCGTTAGACGGGGCACCTGCGTCTTCCTTCCGTCCTGCCCTTCCCCTGTCCTCTCAGGCCAGTGCTCATCCTGGCTCCTCATCACAACAGTCACGCCTTAAGAATCCACATGCCTTTTGAACTGAGGACAAACACCTTACCCAGGCTTCAGAGAGGCACCAGGGGATGGACGTGGAACACCTCCTTTGGCCCTCAAGTTTCCAGAGAGAAGACTTACCTTTCTGTTCCATCACTCCAAGCCCACATGAATAAATCAGAGGAGGCGAGCAGATGGCCTTTTCTCCGCTCGCTCGCACGGAGCGCCGCTCGCCTCGCGATCAGATGAGCGGATGCGCCCGGGCCTCCCTCCCATGGGCAGCCGGCCATGTGGGCCTTTGAAAGAAAATGAATCAGCTTCACACCACCAGCTCTACCAGACCCACTAACACTTCACAATGCCCGAACTGGGGCACGCATAGAATCAGAGGTGACGGTTTGATGGATGAGTTTCCCAAGAGACAATGCAATCCGTGACATCACGGATTCTGTCTGCACCCCCTACCCAGCCGCCACCCCCCATCCTACCAGCCTCTCCTCTCTCCAAAGAAAACTCCTCTGCCTGGTGACAATGCCATCTCAATAGCAAAAGAGCCAGCGAAGAGGAGGAGGGAGTGTGTGTGAACTAATGCTTTGACTTATCTGTTCTTTTGAACTTCAATTTTCAATTTCCCCTGCACAGGTTAATGGAAGCGATGGTCAGAAAGTGCAGTTAAAACAGACAAGCACAGAGTCCTAAAAGTTTGCCACCTGACAGCCCAGTAGTAACCTTTAAAAGGATCATTTTATTTGTTTTTTTTTTAAATCCCTCTTACTTGCACAGAGCTAACGTCTTTCTGCTACATGCAATTCAAGAGACTTAAAATTGTTTGTAAGCAGCTGCAAAGATCTTGAAAGAATATGTACAAAGACTTTCTCAGGCTGTGGAGTAACCTGTTAAATTCCACATTTTTCTGGATGATAAGTGACTTTGTGCTTGCTCATTATGAATGAACCTAGGTCACCGTTCTCACTATCAGTACAGGCCACCAGTCTTGGTGAAAATGCTTCATCAGGGGCTGGAGTGACAGCACAGCAGGTAGGGAGTTTGCCTTGCATGTGGCTGACCCGGGTTTGATTCCCAGCATTCCCTGAGCACCACCAGGAGTAATACCTGAGGGCAGAGCCAGGAGTAACCCCTGTGCATCGCCACGTGTGAACCCCCCACCAAAACAAAAAAGAAAAAAGAAAATGTTTCATCAACTCACTAGAATCTCTACTACAAACTTACTTGCAGAAAAAAAAAACCCTGTAAAGTCTATCTTTATGACTCAGCATCCTTTGATCTACTTAAGAGTTCGGATATTAGTATAGGAGAATGAAAATCCCATGTATTTCTATCTCTACAATTCTAAAAATAAAAACCTTTTGCACAACAATAAACTTCAAAGAAAAAGGATGTACTGGGCTGGAGATACAGTACAGTTGGGAGAGCACTTGCCTTGCATGTGGCCAACCTGGATTTGATCCCCGGCATCCCATCCACCAGGGGTAATTCCTGTGTGCACAGCCAGGAGTAAGTCCTGAGCACCACCAGGTGTGACCCCCCTCCCCCCACTCACTAAAAAAAAAAAAAAAGAAATGCTGTACTGGGAGCACTGAGGGCCCATCTCCTTCCTATTAAGTAAGTTCCTAAACTCTGAAGAGGAAAAAAAGTCCACCCAAAAGGACTATGGGTAAAGTTCATGTAAAAGAGGGACATATGTATATCCTCATATATTTCATACCTATTTACATATATATTGAGATTTAGCATCCTCAAACGTATGAAGAGATGATCACTGCCACTTGCAGTATAATCAATGCACAATGAAACTACATAGATACCATTCTTAACCTAGAGTGCTTGGTCGCTTGGGCAGAGAGAAACAGTTTAAAGGGCCGAGCACGTACTTGGCATGCAAGAGGATGAGGTCCAATTCCCAACACTACTTGGTCCTCCAAGTACCACTGGGTGCACCCCTGAGTACTAATCCCGGACTTATTACTCCCTCACACTGAGCACCACCTGGTTTAGGTCTCCCTGCAAAAAATACTTAGAGTGTAAGTGGTTTTCAAACTTTCCACACCAGTAGATAGTACCTGCGCATCACTGGCCTTCAGACAGCAATAATAAATAACTACTGTGGTTCTTCACCAAACAATGCTCGCGAGCCACTGTGCTGAGGGGAGAGAGGTTTTGTCATAGATTGCTGGTGGCAGTGAAAGTACAAGGACAAACATGAAGGCGATTTATCCCTAGATAGTAGACTCGTGTTGTCTGTGGAGTTTCCAAGAGTGGCTTATGTGAAGGACAGAGATGCCAGCCTCGAGAAGGAAATCTACCACTTTCCTGTACCCACTTCCGTCCCCTGAGAGTGTCACAGAGACTCAGGAATGATGAAAGGCTACTACTGTGAGCCTATGAACAGCACAGAGGGTGACGTCCTGCCAGTCTCATGAGGCAGCATGCAGCCACACCCGATGTCCACTCGTTCTGCCCAGCATGGGAAATTCTGAGAAATCCCTGCCACCCATTTCTCAGGGAACCATGGACTCAGGCTGGAGTGAGGAATTGCTCTTTGCAGAAAGTCACTCCTAGTCTGATCTGGGTCCTTTGGTTCATTGCCTTTCCCTCAGAGAAAAGAAAGCCAAGATAAGAAAGGGAGAGGGGCTGGAGCGACAGCACAGGGGGTAGGGCATTTGCCTTGCACGCGGCCAACCCGGGTTCGATTCTCAGCATCCCGTATGGTCCCCTGAGCACTGCCAGGAGTAACTCCTGAGTGCAGAGCCAGGAGGAACCCCTGTGCATCGCCAGGTGTGACCCAAAAAGCAAATAAATAAATAAATAAATAAATAAATAAAAATAAAGGGAGGCCGGGAGAGAAGCAGCTTAACATGCTCAAGAGAGAACAGAGAGAGGCCAGAGTGATAGAAAAGTGGGTAGGGCATTTGCCTTGCATGCGGCCAACCTGGGTTCAATCCCCCGGCATCCCATATGGTACCCTGAGCAACGCCAGGAGTAATTCCTGAGTGCAGAGCCAGGAGCAACCCCTGAGCATCGCTGGGTGTGGCCCAAAAAGAAAATAGAGAGAGAAAAAACAGATTTCTCCAGATCCCAGAGAGCCTTGAGTACACATCTCAAGAGGGTAGATGTGAGTGGCATGTATATGTGCAACTTGTGCCATGACAAGTTACTTTATATGCACATTTCCCAAACTGCCCGCCACCCCATTGGTCCGTTGCTAAGGTGGTTGCCAAGGGGAGTTTAAAGCAGCTGAGGGTCTTTCGCTATTGGTTCCAGCAGGCAGCCTTCCCCCGCCCCCCGCCCCCAGTGGCCCAGCCCCCTGTCCTGTCAGGAAGCCTCCTTGCACTGGGCCTGGAATTCTGCATCTTAATAGTTTTCCAGGCTCCTCAGAAGGGTCCTTTGTGCCAAAGGCCTCCATGCCTTCAGGCTGGTTCAGGTTTCAGACAGCATTTTCCCCAAAATATGTTCCCAGGCTCCTACCTGCCTACAATACAGGTATCCTGCAGGATACAGCACAGGATACCTACAATACAGGTATCCTTCCATCCGGAATGACCACTTCCAGACATCTCCACCATCTTATCACTAGGACAGCAAAAGGGTCACATGTCCAAGCAAAATAATGGCAACCCTACAAATAGCCAGCAGTGGATTCTAAATGGATGGCAACTCCCCATAGCAAAGGGCGGTGCAGTCATAGATGGGCCTGCCAGATGCATGGCCTCTGGGCGAATGCACCAAGCAAGGTGGACGGACCGGAGGTTGTGGGCAGTGGGAGTGGGGTGACTAAGTCCATGTCTGACCTGCTTGTATCGGGAAAAAAAGGCAACTCTGTAAGCAGAAAGAAGAAGCTAATCAAAATAATTTCTTACTGGAAGAGTTACTGAGTAGGGCGGGAAGGACAGAAATAGACAGGAGATTCCTCTGGGTTTACTGAACCTTTTAAGGCAAGGGTTGGAAACTACGGCCAAAGGCTTTATTGCCTATTTCTGTCAATAAAGTTTTCCTAGAAGCTTCATCAGCCATTGTCTTTGGCTGCTTTTGTGCTTCAATGGCAGAGTCAAGTGGTTGCAATAGTAGCCTACACGGTCTGCAAAGCAGCAAATGATACTACCTGGCCCTTGACAGAACGTTTTCTGATCTCCACCTACTCCATGTGATGAGCTGAGTTTTAGTATAAAGCAAGAGACAGTTTTGTTTATTTTTGGTTTGGAGGCAACATCCGGTGGTGCTCTGGGGTTACTCCTGGCTCTGTAACCAGGAATCACTCCTGGCGAGTTTGGAGTCACTATATGGGGTCCCGGGGATCAAATCCGGGTCAGCTTCATGCAAGGCAAGCACCTTACCTACTTTACTATCTCTCTGGCTCCAGTAGACAGGTTTAAAGAAATGGGGCTGGGGGGGGGGGGGCGGCGGAGAGATAGTACAGCAGGTAGGACGTTTGCCTTGCACACAGCTGACCCAGGTTCGATCCCTAGCATCCCATATGGTCCCCCAAGCATCACCAGGAGTAATTCCTGAGTGCAGAGCCAGGAGTAACCCCTGAGCATCGCTGGGTGTGGCCCAAAAAGCAAAATAAATAAATAAATAAATAAAATGGGGCAGGACCAGGGTTTAACTCAGCACTAGAGCATACGTGTGGTATCTATGACATCCTGGGCTCTATTCTGACACCAAGCACACACATAAATCTCTCTTGGAAGTTAGACGGATGGATCACTTTCAGTGGACTGAAGCAGTCCTAAAACTTCTAGGTTTGGGATAAGGGGGCAGAGATTCTACCATCTCATGATGAATGGGAAAGGGAAGGTTGCAATTGCCATTTTGGGAAGTCAACTATAGTTATGCAGGCATTAAAAATTCTATTGACATGGAAGGACATACAAATGCTACGAAACCTTGAGCTGACAGAATAGCAACTCTGGTGCTACTCAGTAGAAATAACGCTGGCACATAACTCAACATTTTTGAACAGATCTTTGTGTACAAATGAATCATATTTTATGTTTGCTTCTGAATTTAAAATAATCTAGGAGAAGCTACATCAAAATGTGAACAGTGGTTCTATTCCTTTGATGAGATTCAATTTAACCTTTTAGAGATAGCTTATAATAGTCTAATAATGTGTGCTTATAGAAAATTAAAAGATATTTCACAATGAATCTCAGAGGACAGTCATCTGATTTGATTGTTAGAAAGATTGACCTAATTTTTTAGATAATTGAAAGCTAATTAGAATGCTCCCTGGTAGATCACTTTTCCCTTTTCTGACTGTTTGAAGAATCTGCTTAGCTATCTGTAATACAGAATGTAATTGATATAAAGTAATTAAAGTATTTACATGATGTGAGATTGAAGTATTTCCAGGATGGTAAAAATCTTGCAATAACGAAAAGTGTACCAGCAACATAAAATATATAAAATAGTTAGATACCCCATTAAATTAAATATAATTTGCCTGCAAATTAGTAATGGTCAAGAAAAATAATCAAGAACTCACACTTTAATTACTGAATAGTGAGAAAAATCATCATAAACTCACACTTTTAATTACCGAATAGTGACTACAGTTAAATGGGTACCAGGATATCAGGAAAGAAAAAATCATGGTCTGGTGTAAAGAACCTTTACACTATTCACTTTTTCCTGGTGGTAGGGCGTTTGCTTTGCACGCAGCCAACATGGCCGACCCGATATAAATTTTAATGTAGGAAAATTGAAATTGTTTTTCAAATAAAATTGCTAACTTCTCATTTAGCAAATACTGTGAAAGCTCAACTTCACCAAGATTTTAGAAATGTTACACGGACAAATGTGAGTATGAAATTACCTCTTAACCTCTCTTGTAAGGAGAGCAATAGTTAAGAGTGTAAAATCTGGAAATTCAGTGAACTGGATTAAATGAACAATCCTGGGGTAAAATGAGTCTCTTGTGAGACCTTAGAAAGAGAAAATAGTTTAAAGTAAACTCATAAACTGGTTAACAGTAATGAACTTTTAGTAAACTGTGTCCTATTTGGCTTCAATTGTCATTTCACTTCACTTGACCCTAACTGAATTAAATCTCTAACACTTATGGCAGATAATACTTTGATTCTTTAAAGATCATTTCTCTAAAAGACTGCAAGGATGAATTCAGGAGCTGGAATGATAATTCAGGAGCCAGAACATGTAGGGTACTTGCCTTGCACACGGCAGACCTGGGTTCAATCCCTGGCGCCTAATATAATATGGCCACCAGATTCCACCAGGAGTGATCCCTGAACTCAGAGCCAGGAGTAGGCCCTAATCATCACCAGGTGTGACCCCCGAAACAAAAGAATCAATTCAAGCCTGTTTCTCTAGAAGAGTTCCACTGTTAACTCTATTAATTTATTGTACTTAGGCTCTCAGATTTACAATAAAAAGGTAAAGGTAAAGGCCCTCCCGTTGATCATCGATTTGCTCGAGCGGGCCCAGTAACGTCTCCATTGGAGACTTTGTTGTTACTGTGTCTGGCATATCGAATACGTCACGGGGAGCTTGCCAGGCTCTGCTGTGCGGGCGAGATACTCTCGGTAGCTTGCCGGGCTCTCCGAGAGGGGTGGAGGAATCGAACTCGGGTCAGCCATGTTGGCCGCTTGTAAGGCGAACGCCCTACCCCTGTGCTATCGCTCCAGTTACAATAGTGTTGAGAATATTAATGTATCAAGGAATCAGGGAAATTGATTTAGTTTTATTGTCATTGTTTTTGTTTGTTTCTGGACCATGCCTGATGGTGTGTGGGGTACCAGGGATTAGGCCAGGATTCCCACATGCAAAATATGTGCTCCAGCCCTTTGAACTGCCTCTATAGCCCTGCATTATCAACAGCACTGTGAAGACATACAGTTCCTCTTTTGTTTGTAGAAGAATCAAGGATTAGAATTGGAGCTTTATTCATTTGCATCACGTACACACACACACATACACACAGACATCACTCACCCATAGAGCCAACCATTCAGTGGTAATAAATGCACTCTTCCAGAAGCAAGTGCTCTAGGATTCCATGGTGCTGTGGGCCTGCTGAATAGAAAGGTTCAAGGTCTCTGAAAGACCAAGATATTCTCTACAGAAGAGTAGCTGCACTTTCTATCTTTCTAAAATGTTTATGTTTGCTAGTTAATTGCTTTCAGTAATAAATGCAGTGCAGGGCCAATGGGACAGTGAAGGTGTTAAGGCACTTGCAGAGAAAGTGGCTGACCCCAGTTTGAATATGGGGATCACATATTGTCCCCAGACCACCGTGAGTGATCCCAAAGCACAGAGCCAGAAAATAGAACATTCAATTAGTTGAATTAAGAAACCAGTTATCTGGACTAACCAGGCAGTCAGAGACTTACCCACCTGCCTGAGTCCAAAGATAAGGCCTCAGTTTATCCTTCCCTCCAAAGGTAAGCTTTAGTTTATTTAGATTTAGATAAGACACTGTGCCTTAGGGTTGGAGCCATAGTACACTTGCAAGAGGTAAACCCAGTTCGATCCACAGCACGCCACATGGTTCCGCAGCCTTTTTCTCAAACGTGCTTCCTGTTCTCTGTAAACACTGCTTCTCCTGATTGTGCAGACAAGATGGTTACTCTAAAGACATGAGTCTGCCATCTTTCAAGTTGCCAAGCAAACTCTTTTGACCCAGCACCACTGATGACCCCTTGGAACACAGTATTGTATATGTCCAGTGGTACCCATACATGGCCATTTTTGCCTCAAGGGGGTGGGGTGGGGGTGGGGGTTGGGGGGGTGGGAGTGTTTTAAAATCTTTAACAACTTTCTTGAGGTGCTGCTTACACATGATACACTTTATCATTGAAAGCAACCTTTTAGTAAATTTGTCAAGCGTTTCAACCAGGACCAAACTTAACTTCCAGAACCTTGTGCCTCTTCAGTTTACCCTGTTCCCACACCCAACCCCAGACAATTCCTTTTTGTCTCTCTAGATTTGTTTTTTCTGGACATTTCATATAAACAGAACCAGACAATCCATGATCTTTTGTGTGTGTCTTCTGTCATGACATAAAATCTTCCTGTGCGTCATTCATGTTGTAACATGTATCATTACTCAGTGGGCTTTTATTGTTAAATAGCATTTGTAGTTATTCATCAAACCTAGCATAAAAAGCTCAGGTTTACACACTTCTGTAAGTCTTCATTTCTTGATGAAGGCTCCTGAGTCATATAAAATTCATATTAAGCATTGTATGACTAAAACCCAATCATGAACAGATTTGTAATGCTCTATCTCATGGTGACTCAATGCAAATTTTTTTAATTTATATTAAGTACAATGTGACCCCTTTGTTCTTACTAATCTGTCTTTTTTTTTTATAGAGGCCCTAGAGCCCAAAACTTGGAAGTGTGGTGGAAACAGATATTAGTCCTTTCCTACAAGAACATTTTTATTTATGTGATTCACTCTACAAATATTTATCAAGTTCTGGTTTGCTGTCCTAGATGATGACTTCACACTGACAAACAGGAAATACAAACGCTGGAGGTATGGAAGAAAAGGTGGT